AGGACCTGGCGGAGGAGGATTCGCAGCTGAAGGATCTTATGCAGGAGGAGGTGCAGGAGGACCTGGCGGAGGAGGATTCGCAGCTGAAGGATCTTATGCAGGCCCGGGTGCAGGTGGACCTGGCGGAGGAGGATTTGCAGCAGGCGGAGGACCTGGTGGAGGAGGCGGTGGTGGTGGAGCGTACGCTGGACCGGGACCTGGCTTCGGAGGACCTGGAGGTGGTGGATTTTCTGGTGGAGGTCCTGGACCTGAAGGAGGATCCTTTGCTGGAGGAGGGAAAGGCAGTTACGCTGGAAAGTAGTTGTAAATATTGTTATTTATGCGTGTATCAAATGAATGTTTTCACAAACCGTTTACAGATGCAAGAAAACTTAAAAGATCTAGAAAAAGTCGTCACAGCAGAGATCGGTGCTGTTTATTAGATAATCACATTACAACCCCTGTTTAATTGATGCTCATTAGGCAGTGGAAACTTTTTTCTTCAGAAAAACTAGTATCCAGTCCACTGCAATCGATGCTACTTGAGTTAGGCGATGAATCCAGTTGTCTTCCGCGCCCTACACTTCTTGCCACTCAGAAAATTTTAGAGATCCTTAAAGGCAGTGATCGCGACCATTGAATGGTAGTGCGCTTCGATAAAGTTACTGAACTTCGCCGTTGGAAGGGGATAATAGACGGTCTCCTACACACTCCCCGGCGGGCTCTAGTCATCAGTGTTGTTCAATGACGTCATCAAAACCGCACCGCCCTCCAACCATCTCGGTCACTGCCTTTGATGACCTTTCACGGCTTTTCAAAAGCTTCGCTAGACTGTGGGGGGCCTTTACAGTCCGCTAGTCTATGAATTTATGAGCTAATTTTGTGAACCCTGCGGCATCCTGCCTTTGCCGCTCCACTATCAACTTTCCTTTGAAGGTTTTGAAATCAAAACTGGTAACTGAAGGGGCTCAACAAGCGTCATCCATCTCGTAGCCAAGTTGAGGTAGTCCTTCCACCATCTCCTGCTTACGTACCTCCATCAGCAAAATATTCGTCAGGGCGGAGGGGGAAGGAGGGGAAGTGCCAGCTGTAGCGTCAAAATAGCGGAATTTTCGAAACTTCGGAGTCCGTCGGAGTGTTTTTTCAGCCCAGAAATGCGATGCCACTTTGCGTTAAAGGACGAATTCACGCTGGAAAGGCAACCCATTTCAAATTAACCGATGGTGAGTGGTACACGAAAGAAGGAAGAACCATGAGAAACGGCCCAGAACCCGAGAAATGGGACCCCTTCCTTGCCCGTTGATTTGAGCATTGATGCGACTCTCATCGCTGTGCCCTCTTCAACACTACGCTCTCTCACTATCTAATCACTCGCCACAGGTGGTGGCGGTCACCGGCCAACCGCGCCAAGATTGAGCCTTATAGGTCGCCGAGGTCAACTTTTCGGTGCCAATTGCGCGTCAGTCCGCACCCTCAGGAGGTCCGTGGGTCCCTCAACTAGGTGAATTACTCCTTCGACCTTCATTCTAATCGTGAATTCCTCCTTTAATGACCACTTCTTCCGAAATACAAATCACGCCTCCCCCCCCCCGTTGCGCTAAGCTTGGTTCAGTGTACGATTTACTCCCTTATAGATTTTTTGTAATATGTATGCGTGGCTATCATGGCCTTAAGGGGACATCCAAGACGGCATTCAAACCGTTGCTAGGTGACTTCAGGACTAAGCTCATGAAAAGGGAGAAACGCTAATAGAGCAACAGTTGCCTACATCTTCCCCAGAAACTCTGATTAGTGAAGACTGTAATTGGCTCACTCACTCTGATGTCCTCCCTTCCCAGCTGCATAAGCGCCTGCTCGCGCCATCCTTCCCATAACCATTCAGAGGGAATCGTTAAGGGAGTTCCTTGCACCAGCATCAATCTCAACATGGATTCTTCTTTGAAAGTAGAAATAGAGAAGTCAATCCTGTTTTAGTTTAAAGTATGCACGATTGGCCTCTTCAACGTTCTGCGGTAAAAAATGGCTCTAAAGAACCGGAAACGTCACTTTGGACAGCGGCTAATCGACGGTCAACCTTCAAATTAATGGGAGCCGACGCCAATTCCGGTTTAGGACTGCGCGAATTTGCCACCTGCAGCGCACTGTGATGGAAAAACGATAGCATCGCTGATGATCCAAATCTTATACGACTACACGATCCGTTTTCTTTGGGAATATGCGCCTTATTTGGCATCCACACGGATTACTTGATGCAAATCGCTGGAATACGGACCTAACGACACGCCATTTAAGACCATTATCACAAAATAGTACCGCACGAGCAACTTGTTAAGATTGGCATAGGATTCT